AATATTGTATCACAAGTTCAACGTTTCGCCCTCAACAGGCTTCATCTAGATAATGGACAATAAAAATGACAAGAACCTAGATCTACACGGGCTTTAAAAACCAAAGGGTGTACATTCATGTCACAACACTAAAAGGAGCAGTGAGTACAAATCGGAAAGGCCAGACAGAGGGGAACACTAAGGCCAGAAGTGGTAGAGAGAGAGAGAGAGAGGGGGGGGGGGGGGTGGCGGAACAGGTGCGTGGAAGTAAGGAATATAATAACAGAATGGCGCGGTGAACACAATCATTATCATAATCATCATCATCATCATCATCATCATCATCATCATCATCATCATCACCATAATCATCATCATCATCATCCCGTCATTCATCACTCCGAGTGGATTGTCCCGCTCACATAACGCCGTAGAGGGCCGTAACTCTTGCTCACATAGCACCTCACAAACGACAGAAGAAACACAAAGAACACGAGCATGGTAGAAATCTGGGAGAGCAGGGTGTAGCAATACCACATGTTTCCGAAGGTGTCCATCAGATAGGCTACCAGTAACGGGTTCAGCATCGACCCTGTACCAGCGCAGAGAGAAAACGCTGAGGTGAGTCGGATTGAAACGGGAACTATTTCCGACTCACATAGAGAATATACGGAAGGGTAAACCGCGCAGATACCAATGGCAAACGTAACTGTGAAGACGACTAAACAAGTCACCTGTCCAAACGAAGCACTGATTGTAAAACAGACCAAAGACATTGCCACTATGGACAGGCATATTCCCATGAGTCTAGGCGGAGACGCAAACCTCGATAGGAAAGCCATGAGCAGTCTGAAGCTTGCGAAAGATATCCAGTAGATAGACGTGACGTAAGCCGCGAAGGCTTTGGTGACCTCGCGGTACTCCTTGACGAGGAAGGTCATCAAGTACGCGGTGAATGTGTCCTCGATGGCTGCATGCAAGGAGAAAAAAACACAGACGCAACACACCAAGAATAAGCGAAGACAAACCGGAAGTGTTCGAGTCTTCATTCCCGTTTCTGATTGGGCGCTTACGGTGACCCTGGCTCCGAAAAGCCTTGACCTTTCTTGGAAAACGACCCCGAAGATAGGCAGAGCTGTGAGAGAGAAAATGACTCCCGAAATAAGAAAGGCGTACTGTATGTGAGTGGTTGGCGTCGTAGTACTATCAGACGCAGGGAAGTTTCCCAATCCTCCGTCCTGAAAACTACTGTTGAAAGTTCCATTCACAAATGTCATAATTTCCATGGGTCCAAAGCTAGAACTATTGACGAGCACCTGGCTATCATTTCGAACTCCTTCTGAATTTATGGTCTCTTGTGTATCCCTCTTGACTGCCAAGAAAGGTTTCGACAACAAGGGACCTAACACCCCACCAACGGCGTATCCAAAATGCATGAGTTGCATGAGTGACCTCCCTTGCTCGCCCCATTGACCCATCAGCTCGGAATTGCAGCCTGAAATAGACGAACAGACTAAGTTGAATTTTTTTAAAAAGGGGAAACTAGAGTTTACTGCCTTAAATCATGAATAAAGCTCTCACTAAATTCCGTTATTCCAGATAAAACTGAACACAGACTAATGGCCCGGTTATACGTAAGGATCGATAATACGAAAAATCGCTAGGTGTAACCACAAAATTGCACAAAGTTTGGACAATTGGATGATGGCATGGATAATTGGTCGAGAAATCAAGCGCAGCTGGATTTTTTTCTCGAGCGATCACGTTCAGATTTTGGGGAGACGCGCTGTGGCGTAGAATCATTATAAAATCTGCCGCTGTTAAACTCCACTCAGAAAGGAGTCCGAAGTGTTTTTTCCCTCCTGAAGATACACTAATCTTTGATAAAGTAAATTTCTATCCTCACATGTTTTTTAAAAAGTTGCATTTTGTCTTTACTCATTACGTTACAGTGACACATCGGCATGTGGTTCCACAGAGAGCAGAAACCCCCATATATGTACCTCGCTGTCTATTCCTTCAGCTGTCAGATCTGGAGCACACATTGACGATCATGGTACCTCCTTCCTGTTGTCTTCTGTCTTGGTCTTGATGAGCTCGGTTTTTCTCTTTGTGTTATTCGTTGTAAAGTTATTCTGGCCATCTGGGTGTGTGTGTGTTACAATCAGTTTTGTATTGAAGTCTTTGGCAGAAGTCGAAAAGTGTATCTCTCTATTTAGCTACTTATCCACCCATCCATCCATCCATCCATCCATCCATCCATCCATCCATCCATCCATCCATCCACCCATCCATCTATCCATCCATCCATCCATCCATCCATCCATCACTTACTGGTAGCAATGAACCCTCCGCTAACCCCGCACAGAGCGAGCATAGCAACCATAGCTGGGTAGACGGAACAGTGCGGGATGAGCAAGGTGAAACCAGCTAACCCCAGCAGGGATACGAGTAGGAGCAAGTATGTGTGGATCTGAAAACACAATACAAGCAAAACATTGGCTTTTTAATAATGATAATAATAATAGATAGCATTTGTATAGCACAAATCCCCGCTCAACACCAAGCTGTATGAGCTTCACAATCTATACTATTTTCCAAGCAGACCTGAGAGCATTCTGAAACAATTTAAACTTCCTGGGAGGTGTACAGTGCAAGCAACCATTTATATGCGCTAAAACACTAACATACTGACAAGATCTTTCGCTGTCTATGGCCGGGTACCCATTTTCACCTGGGTGAAGAGAGGAACATTCGTGTAAAGTGCCTTTCCCAAGGATACAACGTCAGGCCCGCGTCTCGAACCCCAGAACACGCAACCTTACGATTACGAGTCCGGTAGCCAAACCACAAGTCTGGCGGACGTCTTAGACCATGTCAGTTGAACTTTCAAAAAGAATACGCAAGAGGCGAAGTGGGAAGTGTTCATTTGTACATGTGATTGTCTTAATTGGACAGGTGGTCATTAAAGTAAGTTAGACTGTGCGAAACGAAACAAAACACTCTAAAACATCTGAATTTGAAGAGCTAGTTTTCGCATTCGCTTGCCCTGTTATAACAGATGGAGGTCACAAAGATTTTGAATGATAACGCATAATAAATGCGGGAATTGTACATTTGGAGCACGTTTGCTTTTGCGAAAACTCCTATCTCTCTCGCCCTCTGTCTCCATCTCTCTTTTTCTCTCTCCCTCCCCCTTTCTCTCTACTCCCCCCCCCCTCTCTCTCTCTCTCTCTCTCTCTCTCTCTCTCTCTCTCTCTCTCTCTCTCTCTCTCTCTCTCTCTCTGAAAACCGACCTTCCTACTGATCCAGGCACGCATCAGGGCTCCGGCCATGTAGCCAAACCTCCTGGCCATGATGAAGGCTGACCCCTCCTTGACCCCTGTAGAGGTGATGATCTGAAGGTCAAGGACGGTGGGGCCAATCTGGCCGTCAGAGATGCCCTGGTCAAGGAGGGAGGTCAAAGGTTATTCAGTTACTTTTTGAATGAATACTGCGATGATTTTTTAAAAACATGTTATATAAATATGGTTAATACACTGTTGTTCATGGAGTATTGAATAAACCCCATCTCTGAAGGGATGAGCATTCGTCATTGTTTAGATAGGTTAAAGCCCCATTCAGCAGGGTGAGGTTATTTAAGATGCTGGTCTCTGAGTGTAATAACAATAATAACACATGAAATTTATACAGCGCTCTACCCCGATTACAGTACTCAGGTTCTTAGCGCTTTACAATACAATACAACAGTAACAGACCCCCCCACGGGCTGAAATGTCTTTAGGCTATTTCCAAAGTGGGGACATTTCTCGTTCTAATGCACAGTGGAATTGTAAATGGACTGATCCAACAATGTCATGCTCATAACTGTGCCTAAACTACAAAAGGGAAATGCTGCTTTTTCTTTCCTAATCCTTACTATAGTTGTCTTTCTCTACTTCTTTTGTCACACTCTTGTGACCCGCAATTTCCAGGGTGCCGTGCTAGTCGAAGCAGACTTTGTGCTGTTGAAGCTAGAGAGGTGAGCAGAGTAAGTCTGATTCCCTGTAAGGACTTCTCTGTTGACATCCACCCCTTGGCTCTCATATGATGACCTATGCAGTTGCGAGCGCCGGAAAACCTCTACTAAAACAAAACAAAACAAAAAAACAAAAAACAAACAACAGTAACATAAAACGTGTTCTAACCAAAAGAAAATATCTCCAAATATTCATCTTATTAATTTAAAAACAGAAATGACTTCAGCTGACAGTTAAATAAATAAAAAAAAGTTGATGTCTTTTAAATGACTTGGCAAAACATTCCAGATCTTACGGCCTTGATATACAAATGTCTTTTCCCCCATTGTTAAAATTTCAAAGATGGTAGAAGAAATTTCTTTTCGGCAGCTGATGACCATAAACTGCGAGTTGGAATGTACGGTCTTAACAGATTTGACAAATATGATGGCACATTATCATTCAAACATTTGTGACTTAGGGTGGCCAACTTGTACACAATTATTTTCTCAACAGGAAGCCAATGCAATGTCTGTAAAAGAGGTGTAGCAGAGTCTCGCTTTCTTTTCCGTAAATTTAACGTGCAGCATTGTTTTAGACAGTTTGAAGTATTTTAACGATCTCCAGTGATATTCCTGATAACAAGTAGTTACAATAATCGAGTCTTGATTAAAAACTTAGCCAGCTACTAGTAAAGTAGTATACTTAATGTTGATTGGATGACGTATTTTACTAATTTTTCTTATTTGGAAATATTATGCAGCTGATCAGACGATTTACCTCAGCCGACATTGACAAACTGGAATCAAAATAAATGCCAGGATTCTTCACTTTTCTTGAAAATGAAATTTCCGCCTCACCAATTGTTATGTGATTATGGTCAACCTCTTTTACAGACTTTGCGCTCACTGCCAGGTTGACTTCTGTTTTACCCTCATTCAACATCAATTTGTTTTTGTTCATCCTTTTTTTCACTGAGGCAATACAATTTTCAGCACAATGGACAAGTTATCTAAGTTGGTAAACATTTTTAACCATAACTTTGGGTACCATCAGGATAGAAATGATACTTTAATTCGTCCTTAACTATTTCCTTGACGAGTGGTTGAGTATAAATTAAATGGTGAACAAAACTGGACTGAGCCCTGGGGGACCCCATCCATAAGAGCATGATCTGACGACTTAAGCCCTTTAATAATGACAGATTGGTATCGATTTGTCAGGAGGTAAAAACAAAACCATCTAAAGGCAGTCCCGGATATTCCTGAAGACACCTCCAACAGCTTCAATAAAATATAATGGTCAGTTATATTTTTAAAAATCCAACTGCTGATAGATCTAAAAGGCTCAGCAAAACAAATTTTCCTTAATGACAGTCAGTAAACATGTCATTCATTACTTTAAAAAGCGCAAATTGCACACGAGACCTCCGAGGCTAGGTGATAGATCTTACCACCATAAGATCAGGGGTATGGCAGAAAGACAGCAGTAAGAAAGATCCAAGAAGTAGCGTTTGAAATACTACAGAAAGAGTCAGGAGCCCACAGGAGTTTGAGTTCCTAAATCTACCTGATTGACCATGGTCTAATTTGCAGTGTAAACCGGTTTGGGTAAGGATAAGGGTAAGGGGTGGGGCTTGGGTTAGGGTTAGGGTTAGGGTTAGGGTTAGGGTTAGGTATATGGTTAGGGTTCGGGTTCGGGTTCCGGTTCGGGTTAGGATTAGGGGTTGGGTTTAGTAAGGGATATGGTTCAAATTAAAGTTAGGGCCAAGGTTATTTTATTACTTCAGAATAGAAGACTAGATGACCATCAAGTGGAACAAAAATGCTGAACTGAACCTGTGGTAGACAGCCAAGTACTATAGGAACCTAGCCGTAGACCACCTCATAACTGACTAGCCTCAATGCTGCTTACCCAGGAGAAAAGGGCCATGGTGAGCCATAGGGTCCTCAGTAGCTTCCTTCGATACTCTTTGTCTTTGAACTTTTGCCTCCAGCCGACCCATCGTGACTTTGCTTGGCTTTGCTTTGTGAGTTCATTCAACGCTTCGCTTTCTGTCCGGTTTTGGTCTTTCAATTCCAACATTTCGTCTTCTTTTTCGGCTGCTCTGCTTTTTTCGTTCTCCATGTCTGGTTTGAGTGAAAGAATAAATAAAAGGCAAAACAAAATTAAAGGGAAGGGAACATGTGAGACCGCACGATTGTACCTGCTCTAACAGCCACATGTGTTAAACACTCATCCGTTCAAACGACAATTTCCTACCCCCCCCCCCCCATCTCCCCCTTTTCCAACACACACACACACACACACACACACACACACACACACACACACACACACACACACACACACACACACACACACACACACACACAAACACACACACACACACACACACACACACACACACACACACACGCCTTTGCGCTGTTTTTTATAGTAATTAAAAAAGAATGAAACGATTTAATGAAGCATTGTTTCAGTTCTCAAGCATCGTTATTGAATGAGTCAATGAAAGAGGAGCAATCTACATTTTGAATAAAAACGAATGAATCGTTTAATGATGCAGTTCTTCAGTTCTCAAGCAAGCATCGTATGGAATGAGTCAGTGCCCACTGAAACACGAGTTATCTAACTTTTGAATGGCTGTGCCCACAGATGGAATGGTCGGATAGGGGTTCAATCAATACCTTGTTCTCTGTGCTTGGCCTACCACGCAGATCCCCCAAACCTCACCGTGCCTGATTCTTTTTTCTTGCGGAGATAATTATATTATGTAAAAGATCGCTCTTATGTTCCACCAATACCAACTAACCTCGAAGATCCTTGCCTTAAACATAAAATAACAACAGCGATCTACTTAGTGGGCCGTGAGATTATGATGAACCGCGTATGGGAAGAATTCTCTTATTGCATTAATGTTGCCTGCGCTGATGGTGGTGGCCACATTAAACACTTGTAAGTTTCAGGAAATAAAAGTTGATTAAGAGTACAATACCTATGCCTTAGCCTGAGGTTGGTTTTTTTTAAAAATTACTTTTCCTTTATAAAATATTGCGTAATGAAATCGGTTCATTCTTTTTAAATCACCCTATATCATGGAGCGTGGCCCAAAACATTTGGATCGTATGGACTCCTAAACCGCACCACAGACAGTTGTGAAATTTTCTATGCAGATGTAAATTTAGGAGAGGATTTGCATGGAATAGTTAATATTTTTGAGAAACCTGCCGTTTTGTGGCAAATAACCAAAACCTGAAAAATTATTAATTCAAAGAAACCGAAAAGAACACTTCACCTTCGTTCTGACTGCTTCCGTCCGGTGGTGCTTGGCCTATTATTGCCAGTTGGCATGGTAAAGTAAGGTTACCTCTATCAGGATCGTAAAGTCATTTAACAATATCTTTAGTAAAGTAAGTCAGGATCAAATTCGCTTCGGTAGATCTTATTCTTAGATGATGGATCTAGATCTAGATCTAACATCTCAACCACTTGACCGCGAGGCGGACGAATTCGACTGCTCAATACCTTAGTTAGTTATCGAAGCCCGTAAAACATATTATTCTAGAAAGTCCAAGTCGTTTGAAATGTTCTAATATCTGAGAATGCCACCGAAAAAGCTTTGCCCTGAGTGTTTGTTTGTTTGCTTTTGTTTATGGTTTAGGATTGTTTTCTTATTCTGCTTGTAATCTAAACCCTCTTAGCACCATAAATGGGTCAACAGGTCAGCACAACAGAAAATAGTGGCAGCCAGCTTCTGATTTCACAGAGCCGAATTATTTCTGTGTATTTCAGAGTTTCAGGGGGTGTCGCAAAGAAATTGTCTTTAATTTTGATATAAGCGACGTATTTCAATGGAAATTTCACATACAAAAACCTTGGACGCCAGCATCTAAATTTAGAGTGAAATGTTCATATCATTTCTAAGCCCGCACTAAAGGCGGGTGTGTCAGGCCGGTAAAAGCCGGTGTGGCAACGTGACGGGAAGGCCGGTTTAGGCCAGTATGGTTCAAAAAGGGTTTTATAGAATAAACCACCCAAAGTCTGTCCTGATGTTGTATCCCTCTCAACCCGGGTTGGTCCTGGCAGGCAGTTCAGGGTTGAAGCCAGCCTCCTAAATTATCAAAAATATGTCGATGCAGTGGCGGTTAGTAGTGAAGGGCTCACGGGCTTGAGCCCCTGCCCCCTCCCCTCCCACCACCCCCAACTCTATCCCAAAGTAAACGAAAGTTTCTCCATAATGAAATAAGCAGTTGAAACTGTTATGACCACACGCAATGAACACAGAGTGACCAACTCGGCGGCTTGCTCGTTTATCCAATCACTGTTGTCACCGCTTACAACTATAGTAACCCAGCAGCCAATCAAATGTCTTTAGGGCTCAGCAAGGGATGAGCCCTTTCTCACGGCTCGTCCTTTATGAAAATCTTTTTGTAAAAAAGGTAACAGACTTGAAAAAATAACACTGCAGCGAGGGCTCACACTCTCCTAGCCCTGACAATGGGGTGAAAGTTTACGACTCACTTTCCCCCACTGACACAGATACCTATTCGCTCATTGGTTCTTTGTTGGGTGCGTTCAACTTTCTCAACTACACGGCCCAATCCAGCTCATAGAAGTAATTATTATGTTTGAAGTGCTGTGTGTGCATGTTTTTGTTTGTGCAGCTTTGATTTAACAGTTATAAATGAGGCGGAACTACTTTTAAGGCAACTTTTTCATCACATGAAAATTAATTAGAGGAAATTTGGAGGTGAATCGGCTTCATCCCCACCATCAACAAGTATTAAACTAAGAACAAAGAGATTGAAAACAAAGGTAACTCTTCTCGTTTGAATGGTTTTCTAAATGTCGTGGCTCACCATGAGTATAGAAAAATCATCACTGTTTAGTTCTTATTGCTTGCTATTTGGTGATTAAGAACTGGAAGCAACCTAAGCCCCACCGAAATTTTGGTCCACCCATCGCCACTGTGTCGATGGAGGCGTTCAAACGACTGCATTAATTAAAGTTTGTTGCAAAGTATTGGTGGATTATAATCTACAGAGAACAGGCAGAAAAAACAAATAATAACTTACCTTGCAATAGAAATTTTGTTAATCTCCGAAGTCACTAAGAGAGTATCTGTAACAACAATGTGGGTAGATGGTTGTTGCGCTGGCCTGGTTTTCTTCTCCTACATCTCCCTTTAGACACCAGCTATCATCATCATTATCTGTTACTTGGCAACCCTCTCTGATGTGAATGCATGCTGTCGAGATCCAACTCACAGTAGTAGATCTTGTAGACAACACACGGAACTCGAAATACACGGCCGAGATCTGCGTCTCTGTCCCGCCGCATACGTTCGTTCGTTCCAACCTCAAAGTCGACGCAACCCTGACACCGATTCAGTTCTTAGTTAAAAATGTTCTATGGATAATAATATTATGTTGCTGGCTGTGTCGATGAGGTCATAGAGTAGGGAAAACGGAACAGAGTGCGCTTTCAATTTTTTCCCCCCAGTGATGCAGAAGACCTGAGTTTTCGATTCCTCCGGGAAGATAAATTTTATCGAGTATTTCGGTCTATCTTATGGTACGTTGCATCCGAATCAGCGAAGATTTGCCTTGACAGGCAGGGTCAAAGCCCGCTTCTTAAAGGATCTAAATTGTTTCAATAGGACCGTAAGACACCTACATGCATTCAAATTCTCTACACCCGCCCCCACCCCCCCGTAATATTATTCAAAATAAATAAATATAATAAATGAATAAGTAGATAGTAAAATAGCATGACATGAAATAAAATGAAACAAAAAAGATGAAATAAAGTTAAATAAAATGATATAAAGTAGAATAAAATTAAATGAAATTAAACTAAATTAAATTAAACTTTTTAAAAAATCAATTTATTAAAAAACAAATTAAAGGAAAGAAAATAAACCTGTTGTCCCGTACACCACATAGTCTGGGCTGCACTTGGAAGGACGTTTTGAAGCATCTTGTCTACTGCTAGAATATGACCTAAATTGTGTTGACGGGCTTTTAAAACATTCCTATAAATTTCACGGAGCAATTCTGTCTCCCCATCCTCTCCCAACCTGTATAGGTCGTCCTGAAACACCAATATAGATGGAAATTTATTGTAATTCACAAGCTAAACGTTTACATTATATATTATGCAGGGCTCCGCGGCAAAACGCACTATATCCATTTACTACAGTATTGAGAAAAAGTGTTAATTCATTGTCGAGTTACATCTGGGGACAATTAACATTCCTGTAATGTTTTTCGCCTCGCCTCAGCAGTTCTCATCTTTGTTGATTATAAATACTGAATACCACCCCCCCCCCAAATCAATACAATTAAACTTTAGATCATTTAGGAGACGGGCTTCTGGTTAAGGTGTTCGCCTTTTATTTAAAGGTCTGGGCTCGAATCCTGGAAGCGACAGGAAAAATTTCCTTCTCTAAAATTGTCTCCTTTCATCTTTTTCTCTGCTCTATAACAATGTTCTGTCGTCTGCTTTCGTCTCCACTTTCTTCCCCCCACCCCCTCACCTCCTTTTCCCCCTCCTCTGGGCTTCTGGCTCTTTCTGCAGCCTTTCTACTGCTACTCCTTGGCTCCTTTTTACTGCTGTCTTTCAGTCTACACCTAGCCTTCTTGGAAAAGGGCGAAAAATCTCGGAGGTTCTGTGTGCAAGTTGCCTACGTTAAAGATCCCTTGGTGGTCTTATTGATAAGAGTAGGCTTTGTTCGCCACCCGAGCAAAATTTAAAATTTCCTACCAACTGAAAATGTTAAATGTGTCCTGAGCACTCATATTACCTTATGCCGTTGCCAACGCCCGTAAAACACTTACCAAAAAAACCCCAGACAAACGAAACAAAAACAAAAGAAAACAAGCCAGGTTGAGTGAGAAAAAGCATCCCAGCAGACAGACGGAGAGAAACGCTGAAAATAGCTTCTCTAACGGAGATTCAACCTCCTGTCTCCTGCATGCTATGGCAGAGAGCCAACCCATAGCATCAAAGAATGACATGACGATTCTTTACTCTGAACGTAATGGAATTCCTCCCCCCCCCCAACCCCACCCCACTCCCCAACCTGTGATGTCATAACTCTACGTGTGGAAAGGTTGTTCCTGAACTCGACTTCCTTTTGGAATCGAATAGTTTCAGTAAGCACAAAGATAGTAAATAACAAGATGGGCCACTCAGCCAAAAAAGTGTCCGCAGGAAGTATGCTCTTTGCTTCAGATGGCGCTGCAGTCTGTTTTGAAGCTCTCTTTCGTTTTTCCAGAAGAAGAATAGGAATAGCACCTCCTTGCGTTCGCAGATCGACTGCTGTTCATCAGCAGTTCGGGTACGTTCAGTGCGTAGTTTTAGGTTTTTAAAAATTTTAATGACCTCTCGCCTTTCATTCTAAAGTCAAATAAAACGAAGAAAACCATCACCCTTTCCTCCGGAAGAGGTTTTTTGTCAGCGTAACCATTTTAAAAAAGCGTTCTTCCGAAATTTATCCCAAAACATGCTAGTTTCACTTTGATTTTTTAAAACTCAAGTAGGGTAACTCTGTTCGCAAAGAGTGCGCTTTTGTGAAGAGGGCGCCACCAAATTTTGAGGACACTTTTTTAATTGGCTCAAAGAGAGAAGTGGCCCATCTTGTTATGTACTATCATTGGTAAGCAATGGCAGTACATGTAGATGTAGTAGCCTAGGGTATCGAAACAGGTAAATGATCATTCACATCTCTGAGCATTCTCTCTCTCTCTCTCTCTCTCTCTCTCTCTCTCTCTCTCTCTCTCTCTCTCTCTCTCTCTCTCTCTCTTTGTGTGTGTGAGTGAGTGTGCGTGTGTGCGTGCGTATGTGGGTTCGTATGTGGGTGTGTGTGTCCGTGTGTGTGTGTGTGTGTATGTGTGTGTGTGTGTGTGTG